ATAATTTAATGATAATTTAAGAAATTTTGATTATCACATAATTTAGTGATAAATTAATAAATTTTTATTATCACATAATTTAATGGTAATTTAAGAAATTTTCATGACATAATCTTTTTATTATCACATAATTTAATGATGATTTGATAAATAAGATATGTTTTAATATCATAATTTGACAAATTAATAAGATCTTTTATCGTGATTTAATAATTTAATAATTAATGATAAATTAATAAATTTTTATTATCACATAATTTAATGATAATTTAATCTTTTTATTATCACATAACTTAATGATGAATTGATAAGATATTTTTTATTATCATAATTTGATAAATTAATAAGACCTTTTATCATAATTTAATAATAAATGAATTGCATTAGCTCATAAGCTATCGTACTAAAAAAATTCCAAATGACAGAAGGAAATGATAAATCGTAGATTTGAAATATTTGGATGTGATAATAAAATATGATCAAATTGGACATATAAGAATAAACTAATGATAAGGAAAAGAAAAAAAGATAAAAGTGATTTTGGATGATAATTCAGAAATTCGGGGAAAAAAAATTTTCAAATTTTAAATTTCAAACTTATTAAATTATATTGAAAAAGAAATGAAGAAATATAGAGATGATTCATCAATTATTCATCTTTAAAAATGAAAGTTGTGGACAGACAAAACTTTAAAAATGAAAGTTGTGGACAGACAAAACTTTATGCCAAATATATTTGCGTTTACTGAGAGTGAAGATTAAATATATATATGCGATACAGTTCGATTTAATTCCTAATTTTTCCTTCATTCTCTTTCTCCCTCTCTTTCTTTCTCTCTCTCTCTCTCTCTCTCTCTGTTGAAGAGGGAAATTGTCCATTTCAAGTGGACTAATCAAATTTATTCCATCATGACAAAGTATTATTTTGTCTCATTTATTTTGCATAACTTTTATTTCCGTCGCTTATTCTTAAATGCTATTTCACTTCAATATGACTTATTTCCCTTTTTATTTAAATCAAAATTTTATCCTATTCCATTCCTATTCCATCCCATCCCTATTCTTTTCTATATTCCATTCCATTTCTATATCATTTTATTCCATCCTATTCCTATTCTTTTCTATAATCCATTCCATTTCTATATCGTTTTATTCCATCCTATTCCTATTTTCTATATTCCATTCTATTTCTATATCGTTTTATTCCATCCTATTCCTATTCTTTTCTATATTCCATTCTATTTCTATATTATTTTGTTCCATCCTATTCCTATTCTTTTCTATATTCCATTCTATTTCTATATCATTTTATTCCATCCTATTCCTATTCTTTTCTATATTCCATTCTATTTCTATATCATTACTGATAATTTCAACAATGTTAGGAATTGTTAAAAGTTTGAACTCGTAATATTAGTATTACAATTCTGATATGTTAGTTTCTTTCTTCAATTACACTATGATAGCTTTAATTCTTAATTTTAATTTTTAATTTTCAATTCATATATTTTCCATTTCCGATATGTTATAATACATAGAACGGAGAGAGAAATTAACAGTGAAGAAGAAAGATAACTGAAAGAAAAATTTTAGAGAGTATAAAATTAGCTCAATTCTGCAACCATTTACAGATACTTCTATTCATTTTATATCTATCAATTTTAATTTCAATTTTCTTCAACGTCTGCCTATTTTCTATTCGAATACTATTTCACATTCTTTCATCTTTTTCCATTTTTAATTTTCAAATTTAATTTCCTTTTTTATTTGATCATTTCTTTACAGCCAATAACAATTATTGCCCGATAAAATTAACTATAACAATATCATATAAATATAAAGGAATTTTTTGAAAAAGAAAATGATAAAAAAAATTTATGACTGATTTAACAAATATGAAAATGAAACGGAAATGATAAGAGAGAAGTTATCGATGTAAAAATTGTCAAATATGAATAATAATAATAATAATGTGAAGGGGAGGGGAAGGATTGTTATTAATCATCTTTTACATATTCTTATGATTTCACTGATAACAATTGCATTAAAAAGAATTTTCCGCCTTAACTTTCGGAATTATTCCCTTGATAATATGCTAATCGTTATTATTATAATAATATGATAACAACAATTTTTATAACAATTATTCCGTTGATAATAATAGGAATAATTAGAATAATGCTGATGATAATGATGATGATGTTTAAGTGGTAGATTCTTTCCTTCCCAAATGAATAATTGATTATTAAGCTGATTATAATTATTATTTTTATTAATAATAGTAATAATAATAATGATACTACTAAGCATAAAATAATTGTATTGTTTTAAACTAATTACGGGAAAAATTTTTGTATAAATGAAAAATTAATTTTAATTAAAAAATTACGAGCTAAAAAATTAATCAAATGATATGATCTATGAGTTCAAAACAAATTGTTATAGTTGCAATATTGCCGATCGTTTGTATACAGTTAAATTTATTCCTATCATTATTAAGTATATTATATTCATTTAAACATTTCCAATTATTCATTCAATTCCGATCATTCATTTATTCAATTTTAATTGTATTAAATAAATAATTAATTATTAGAGCAATTTGAATGGAATGAGAACAAAAAAAAGTTTTATAGCAAAATTTATCGAAAAAATTTTTTTATATGAAATATAGTTATAATGATCATTGATCTTTGATTTTATTTTAAAATATTATTGTAATCAAATTCTAAAATAATTATTCATTCATCGAAATTATTATTAATCACAACGATTTTTTATTCCTAAAACTTTTTAGGTATTTTAGCGCTAAAAGTAACAGGTAGGAATTTTTCTTGGAAATTTAAATTATTTACATATTTTTTAATAATTGAAATAATTTTTGCTTCTTTTCTCCTCTGATATTTATTTGATGATAATGATGATGATAACAATAATGCTAATGGTTAATGGTATGATATCTACTTGATAATAATGATGATAATAATAATAATAATGCTTTAGTGGTATATTTCTTCTTTCCCTAATGAATAATTGATTAGCTTGCCTGATGGGTTCGAAACACTTTTGTTGTAAAGTAACTTCTACCAAACGCAACACACACACACACACACACACACACACACACACACACACACACACACACACACACACACACACACACATACACACACATATATATATACTTTCCAGGCATATACACACATAACGCGATATTATTTTTTGCATACGGGAATATGGACTGGCATTTATCCACACATCTATGATGTATCTTTGTGTAGCGCTCAATATGATTTGGTGTAGTACGGTGTGGCGAGACGTGCAAAAACATATAGTGCAGTTTGATATGGTGTGGTATGGTGTAACATATTGTGACGTGGTGTGGTGCGGTGTGAAGTGATCTGATTATAGTGTAGTGTAGTTTGGTGCAGTATGGTGTGGTGTAGTGTAATATGACGTGATGTGGTGTAGTATGGTGTGGTGTAGTGAGAGCGATGTTGTGGTATGAGGTGGTGTAGTATGACATTATGTGGCGTAGTGTGGAGTAATGTAGTTATAATAGGTGTGGTATGGTATAGTATGGCGTAATGTAGTGTGGTATGAAGTATGAAATGCGACATGCCAAGGTGTGGTATAGTGTAGAGTGCGCTGCGATATTATGGTATTATGCAAAAAATATCTATCATTCAGCGAGGATATGATAGTGAATTTAAAGCAATAGAATGAATGAGATAAGCTTGAATAAAAGGACAAAGGTTAATGTGGTTGTTTGTTTCTTCGAAATACGTAAATACTGAGGAAGTGCTTTTGTTATTTCTATTTGCTATTCGAAGAACTTTTTGAAAATCAAAAACAAAAAAATATGACGTTGTTTAAAAATTAAACCTATCAGATTAATTGCTTAACTTATTTTCATTGCTTATATATAATTAAGCATTTTTATTAATGCTATAGTAATATGGAATTAATGCGGATTACGATACTGGAAAACGATCACGATCATAATATCTATGCAGAAAGAATTTTCATTCGGGATATATTGGAATTGGAAAACATTCCAGCATTTACTGTATGGATGAATTGTTACTTATAAAAGAAGGAAATATACGATATGTGAGATATGATATAGAATGATATCCTTGATAGAAATGATATCCTTGAAAGAAGATAATGAAATTTTTAGAATTGGAAAACTTTCCAGGATTTACTGTATGGAAGAATTTTTAGGTGTAAAAGAAGGCAATATACGGTATGTGAGATATGATATGCAATGATATCCTTGATAGAAATGATATTCTTGAAAAAAGATATGAAATTTTACAAAATTTGATGATTTATAGTTAATGCAAGTATTTCACATATCGCTGAATGATTATTATCATTAATATTCTTAAAGACCATCGTTGACATTCTTAACCGGATTAACCAAAACAGTCATGTTTAAAATGACGAACTGGATTTATCGAAACTGTTAAATAATTGATGATGCGAATATCAGATAATCAGATTATCACTCTGTCATTTCAAATGAATTAAATTAATAATAAAAAATGATAAAATTTTAACAATTAAATGATTATTGTAATCGTCAAAATATAGCATACATTTACGGAAACAATTCCGGAATAAAAGCAATGGCAATAAACATTATTGAATAGAAACCGAAAATGGGAAGAAACAAAATTGTGATTTAATTTTTACATCAATTCAAGAGAATGTGAAAAATGTTTTAAAAAATTATTCAAAAATGGAATGCAATTAATAGTTTTCGATTAAAATCTTAATTAATGACAATTTAAAAGAAAAGAAAAAAGATAATACCAATCAGATAATTAATTAATTATCAAAAAATTTTCACAGTTTCTTGGGGGAAAAAAAAGACAGAAATGGACTAAATTTAACTGAGAAAATGAAAGGCAAAGAATTTTGCCTGAAAATAATTTTTAATATTATAAATTTACCCCAAAAATGTAATCAAATCCAGTCCGAAATTTATGCCAATGCAATCCGATCCGATATTTATGACAATGCAATCCGGTCCGAAATTTATGAGAATGCAATCCGGTCCGAAATTTGTGACAATTCAATCCGGTCCGAAATTTATGAGAATGCAATCCGGTCCGAAATTTGTGACAATTCAATCCGATCCGATATTTATGACAATGCAATCCGGTCCGAAATTTATGAGAATGCAATCCGGTCCGAAATTTGTGACAATTCAGTCCGGTCCGAAATTTGTGACAATTCAATTTTTAAGAATAACATCTATTCCGAAAAAGTTTTATTTATAAGAAAAATCTTTAAAGTGTTTTATTAGAAAATTAAAGAAAAGGAATTTTTTATATGAAAGAATATCACCGATATTTCGATGATATATACTAAAATCAGGTTTAATTCATTAAGCATTTCTCTCTCTCTCTCTCATCTTTTTTTAGGGATAATTTCAACTGATACATTAAAACTTTTTAAATTTAATAAATTAAATTCTTTGACTAAAAATTATCAAATCAATAATTGTATGAAATTTTATTCCATTATAATAAATAACATAAAATTTAGCAAAACCTATAATTGCATGAAATTTCATTTCATTTTAATAAATATTTATAAGCTTTTATATATTATCAATCTATCGCTAATTTATATATTATCAATTTATTACTAATTTATATATTATCAACTTATTACTAATTTATATATTATCAATTTATCGCTAATTTATATATTATCAATTTGTCGCTAATTTATATAATTATCAATTTATTACAGAACTTTAATAACAAAAACAAAGAAAAAACAGATAATTAATTTTAGTACATTTTTAGAGAATTGAAAATAAATAAATCAAAATTAAGAATGACACAGAAAATCTGTTCAAAAAAGATTATATAAAATTAAGTGAACGAATATGACATACATATAAGTGACAGAATGAACGATAAATATTTTATTTTGTTTCATTCAATAAAAAGAGAAAGACAAAAAAAACGACAAACCTTTAATTCGATGGATGATTGAATTTGTTGTTTGTTTGTTTGTTTGTTTATTTGTTTACTTGTTTGTTGATTTGTAATTGACAGATTGTGCTCGTATGAGGAGGATTACAGCAAACGATAAAGGTGACAAAACAAAATTTCTTTTTTAAAGTTGAAAACAAACATCTTCTGTACGCTTATTTTATTTTCACAGATAATTTTTTAAAATTTTTAAAATAAAAATTAATAAAAAAGAAATTTGTCAATTCTCATTAATTATATATAAATAATTAATTTATATTAATTACGATGGAAAAAATCATTTTTTAAATTTTTATCAGAAAACTTCATTTTTTGTCTTACCTAAAAAACATTAATACGAATTATTTTCCGGAAAATTTCTCATTGTTTAAATTTATGAAATAATTATTTCATTAATTATTTCATATTATTAATGAAATTAAGGTTTAAAAAAAAGCTTACGTATCAATTTAAAATTATAATTAATTAAAATTAATTAGAATTTTCAATTTGATCAATTAATTTGTGCTATTAAAATTGAACAATTTCAAAAGATTTCTCACAAATTTAAGTTCCTTAATTAATCTAATATTATAATTAACGATAGATAGTAAATAAAACAAAACAAACGGGAGAAACGAAAGGAAAGTTTACCTCTTGAACTTTCTTTTCTTTATCTTCTAAGTTTGTATTTGCAACAGCTAAATCTTCCTGCGCTTTATCTAAATCATTCTCTGTTTGCATCATTTTCTTTTGGGTATCTCGAAGTTCCTCCTCAATTCGTTCCAATTTATCCGTCATTTGTCGTACTTTTTCTTCGGCTGCATCGGCTCGATCGAGAGCATTATCCTTGAAAAACATTCATTTTTATTATTTCAAACATTTCAATAAATTATAATTAACTTCAATAAATTATAGTAAACTTCAATAAATTATAACAAACTTCAATAAATTATAACAAACTTCAATAAATTATAATTAACTTCAATAAATTATAGTAATAATTTATAACAAATAAACAATGATAGGCGAAAATTTTTCATTACAATTAAGATTATTTAAATTCAAATTTTGAAATTAACAAATAGCACCAAAACTTTTCCAAAATTTTATTACAATTGAAAATATCTTTAAATTTAAAAAAGCGATTTAAAAAATTATAAAAATTACGGAAATTTAAAAACAAGTCTTTTATCTTTTTTTTGATTTCAATCTTTAAAAGAAGTTTTAAAAATAATTTTTATGAATATAATTTGAATAATCATAAATCGATTTATTATTTCTTTATATGAATAAATCGTGAAAATTTCTATTATAATGAAATGATAAGCGTGATATATAATTGAAATAGATAATGATAAAAATGATAGCAATTTCACTGAGTAAATTTAATTTGAAATTTTTGGCATATTTGCAATGTTTTAAAAATGAAGTTTAATTATGTCTTATATTATTTGAGAATATTTTGTACGGGCAAAATTTTGAATTTTTCATTTCATTGATTATATTTTTGAAATTTTTTTAGTAATAAAAATTTCAGGCGATATTTGAAAATATACAATTTATCAATTGTAAAATTTAATTCATCCGATCGAATATATCAGTAGATTGATAAGAAAAAGAAATTAAGCATGATAATCAATTTGTCCAAGTTTATTTGAATTATCTTCAGAATGATTTTACACGAACTGTTATAATATTACTTTGCTTTTATATTATAGTAATTTTATCTTTGCAAAAATATATTCATTTACTTAATAATATTTATCAATAAAATACGTGATAGTTAATAATATTTATTGATGGAATACTTAGTACTTAATAATAATAATAATATTTATCGATAAAATATATTAACATTTCCATTCTTATTTTATTTCGATCAAATTAATTAAATAAATATTTCTTCTAATTCATTCAATTTTTAATTTCTATTCAATTCATTCAATTATTTCATTTCATTTTATATCTTATCAATATTTTCTCGAAAAAAATGCAAAAGACAAAACGAAACGATAACAGAATATTTTCGGTGAAATAATTTCATTAATATTAAAATTTGTAAACAAATAAAAATTAAAAATAAATTAATCCCAAAAAAAAAAAGAAAATGAAATTAAAATATTTTATTCAAAAAAAAATGAATTTCGATCGCAAAATATTTTGTCGAAATTTTTTAACAAAACTAAAAAACTTTTTGTCGAAATTTTCGTCAAAATTTTTCTTTCGTTTTTTTTTTTTCATTTCTTTTCTCTTTTCTACTGTAATTAAATTCAGGATGAAATATTTATAGAAATTTCCTAAATTATACGACGAGAAATTGCCAATGTTTTTTTTCTAAAATAATAATAAACCGAAAATTTTCGCAAATACTAAAAAGGTTTTTTTTTAAAAAAATAGAAATGAATGAAATGATTTGAATAAATTATAATTTTCGACAAATTTTTCTTGCAAATATTAATAAGTATCATTAATTCTTTGATTGTTTTTTTTTTTTGTTTACGATTTAAATAATTATGAATTATTATTTAGTAATTTTTATTTTCGTATTTTAAATACATAAATTTCCTTTTTGTATCGTAGAATTAAAATTTCAATTAAAATTAATTAAAATTTGAATTGAAATTAATTAAAATTTGAATTGAAATTAATTAAAATTTGAATTGAAATTAATTAAAATTTGAATTGAAATGAATTAAAATTTACCAATGTTATTCATTCCTTTTGCAATTGAAGTTAAACTTTTATTTCATTTGTATTTACAACTTTATTATATAAATTCATTAGGCATTTTATTTTTGATATCTAAAAAGTTGAAATTATAAGTTTTGAAATTTCGGAAAAAATTTTTCATCATTTATTCAATAATAAGAAATTAAAGATAATATTGCCTCCTCTTCATTTAAATTAATTTTTTTGATTTAATTTTAATTTTAGCAATTTTAGCATATAATTCACTAATCCAATCAATATTTTAAATAACCGAAAAAGTTTAAAAGCATTAATTTTATTCTTAAAAAAAAATTTTTAAGCATTAGTTTTCCAAATCTAAAATTTCCTCATTTATTATCAGTTTTATTAATATGATAACAAACTATTCTCAATATGATAACACACACTATCCTTCTTCTATCCTTATCATTCATAAATTTATGCAAATTTTTTGACAACTTTAGCATATAATTCGCTAATTCAATATTTTCAATATCCGAAAATGTTAAAAAGCGTTAATTTTATTCGAAAAAAAAAATTTAAATCATTAGTTTTTCAAAATTTAAAATTTCCTCATTTATTATCAGTTTTATCAATATGATAACAAACTATTCTCAATATGATAACACACATTATCCTTCTTAATCCTTATCATTCATAAATTTTATGCAAATTTTTCTATATTATTTTCTCTCAGGAAAGAAATAAAACACTAAAGAGAAATAAATACCTTCTCGATTTTCATCGCCTGCATCTTTTTCTTGATCGCATCCATTTTTGCTTTCCTTTATTTTTCCGTTTAATTTATTCAATAATAAAAATAAATTTTCCGACTAAAAAAAATCGGAAAAAATTATTATCAAAAAATTTAGCTAAAAAAATACAAAGAATAAAACGAAACGAAAAATATAAATATTCTTGAAAATTTGAAATCATCGAATGAAAAAGAATTAGTAATGTTAAGCTCAAATAACAGCAACGGATACGATGACGTACAATGATAATGATAGTATATCATGTTATGTGTGTGGGTGTGTGTGTGTGTGTGTGTGTGTGTGCATCTCTCTCTGCGTGTGTGTGTGTGTGTGTGTATTTTATGAATTCTCCCTATCACCACTGATATATTTTAACATTTAGAATTTTTTTTGTCTTTTTCTTTTCCCTTTTTTTCTTATCTTTTCATTTATATTTCGTTCATTCGCTCTCTTCTAATTTAAACGTAAAATTTTTCAACATTTCATTAAACCTTTTTCATTTAATAACTTTTCCTAACATATCTTATCATTACTTTGAATAAAATTATTATCATTATTTTATCAGATTAAAAAAAAAATCATTATCATTATCATCAATAACAATAACAACAACATTATTATTATTTTATCATTATCATTATCACCATCATTAAGAACAATACCAACAACTACAACAGTAGTGACGACGAAAGTTTATCATTATCACTATTATTATTATCAATAAGAATAGAAGAACTATTTAATATTAGCAAGTTAGCAAATAAGTAAAAAAGGTAGGATGATGAAAGGAATAAATTTATGCAAATAACAAACGGAATGAGAATAAACAATTTTTGTTATTATCAACAACAACATAGTAGCTGTGCTAGGAAGTAAATAAGTATATCAGCAATTAAGTAATTAAGTAAAAAGGAAACGAATGAATATAAATATGTAGTACTGTTAATTATGAGAATTCGAATTGAGCAAAGCTTGGAAACATTCCGTTCGTTACAGCTAAATGGAACGAATCCTTTCCCTATCGCTTACATTTTCTTACTTCGCTGATATTCTTATACTGTTTCGGTTAAAAATTCCTCTTTACACACTTATAACAGCTGTTCAATCCTAAGCTTCTATTTAATAGTTTAAGCAACTAAGCAAAATAAATTTTTCTCATCTCTCCCTCTCTTTCACTCTCTTTATTCTAAATGAAAGAGAGAGAGAGAGAATGATGAAATAAAATGAAAAGTTAAATTTAGTTAAAGAAAAGAAACGAGAAAAAAATAGAAGTGTGGGCAGATGAAAAAGAAAAAATATATTATTAAATAATTTTATAGTATATTACATAGTCATACAAACGTTATTTATATATGTACATATATATGTATGAAACATATTTAAATTTAAAAAAAAGAAAAACAGAATTAGCAAAAGATTTCCGGAATGAAATTCCTTTTTCTTTCTTTCTTTTCCTTCTCATTCACTCTCCTTCTTCATTATTCCCTTTTTTTTGCAACAATGTTGAAAATTTTTCAGCGATACTGAGCTATATGAAAATATCCATTGTATCCGTCGTAATATTATTTTTCATTGTAAAATTACATTGTTCTTTTTCTTCACTTTCTCTTCATTTTATTCTACTTTCTTTTCCTTATTTTTATTCTCTCGTACATTTTTCTCTTCTCCTTCTTCTTTTCTATTTCTTTCTTGAAAATTAGGTATGAAAATTCTTGCAATACAAAATTTAATTGATAATAAAAAGAGAAAAATATTTATATATTTCTTTTTTCTTTCAATCTTTTCAATTTTGAAATTTCCCTCTTCTCTCTCTCTCTGTTTTACCATACCGTATAGATACATGTATCTATGTATTTATATATGCATATATACGTAAATATACGTGTATGTGTGTGTGTGTGTGTGATGTATGTGTGAACGTATATGTGGATGTGTATGTGTGTATGTGTATGCGTATATGTGTGTATACGTATGTGTATGTGTGCGTGTGTGTGATATATGTGTGGACGTATATGTGGGTGTGTATGTGTGTATGTGTATGCGTATATGTGTGTATACGTATGTGTATGTGTGCGTGTGCGTGTTGGTATATGTGATCTGTTCATGTACATGTATGTATACTTATGTGTATGTCTATATACGTGTATGTGTGAGTGTATATGTGTGTATGTGTATGTGTATATGTATGTGTGTGTACGTGTGTGTGTGTGTGTGTCGGGGTATGTGGTGTATGTACATATGTATACGTACGTGTATGTGTGCATACGTGTATTTGTGTGTGATGTATGTGTGAGTGTATATGTGTGCATGTGTATGCGCATATGTGCGTATACGTATGTATGTGTGCGTGTGTGTGTTCGGGATATGTGATGTATGTGTTCATGTACAATGTATGTATGTGTGTGTGTTACCTGTATGTTGAAAAAAGGTTTAAACATTTATTAAAAATACTATTGAACAGCTGGCAATATACCATCACATCCATCAAACTAAAAATCATTGCTAAAATAAATTTAACTTACAAAGTTTTAGAACAAATAAAATGTTAAAGAGAAAATATTAATTCTTTAAAATATTTACCAAAATTTCAATTTTATTTTTCAATGATTTATTAAACATATAATAATAATTAACGATTAAAACAAAAAAAAAATTTCTAATTTCAAAAATGAATTTTTCATTATCTTTATAAAATTAAAATACCTGAAATTAGGCTGCCAATACTCTTTTAATATATTCAAATACATAATAGTTTAAGGGAGAGAGAGAGAGAGACTGTGATTGAATTTATTTTTCTAACACAGAAATGATGTCAAACATATCCGTTCATTTTTTTTTCGGTGTTCTGGAATTGAATTCTATATTTTTACGGATTTTTGTTTAGTTAATCCAGCAATACGAATGATAATCGTTTTGCCGGAAAATTTGATCTTAGAAATCAAATAAATTGAATTAAATGTACTACACCTATCAAGTTGTGTCACTTATGCGATATTTGATAAATATAATAGACGATAAAACGAACAAAATACTGTATTGTAAAAGTTCAGAATACATTCATATATTAAATTATAAGTAATCGATTTATTTGATAATATGTTAAATTATAAGTAATCAGGTGTATCTCTACCAATATGTCTTATTATAAGTATCGCCCAGAAAATTGAAAATACGAAACAATATATGTGTGTTAGTCCTGTTTCTAATGTCGTCAAATTTAATTCACATTTATTTAGTTAGTTTAATTTTACCGGTACATCTTATCAGTACTATCTTTCCGGAAAAAAGAAAATACGAAACAGTATATGCGTATTAGTTTATTCTGTTAATTTAATCTATAAACATAGCAAATTTTTATCAATTAGATAAAAAATTATCTCTATTCAAAGAGTTGAGAAATTATTAAAAACAATTAGCAAACTATTAATTATCCTTGAAAAAATGTAAGTGGAAAAATTTTATGCAACAAATTTCTTCTTTTTTAAAACGCTAGAGATCATAAAATGTTTTTCAAAAAAAAAGGACCTGAAACAAAATAACATCAAAATAGGATGACTTCTACAAAAATATGATAGGTAGTATATATTTTGTTAAAATTATAAATTACTGTTAATTCAATTTTTGTAAAACTTAACTTACATTTAGTAATTACTAAATAAAGAAATTATTCGATTTCATAAATATTATCAATCCATTCTCTTTAATATTCAATATATTTTATTCGTAATAATTTGGTATTGAAATTAATAAAATTCAACTTTTATCTCCCCATATTTGTTATAAACTTTTAACAAAAAAGTTTTAGGATATTAAGTATTAAATGAATTATCCAATTGTGATATGTTCCTCAATGAGTACGTAAAAATACACTCATCACACGATGGAAGGATAATTTAATGATTAGGATATCTGTCCAAACAACAATTACCAGTTAATAACATTGGTTAGGACTTGTTTAACTTTTAACTACAATAACGAAAATTTAGATTTCAATGTAACTTGTTCAACAGGATTATCAGAATTTTGAAAAAAAAATTAATTCATTTTTTGAATTTATTGTTTTAAATTCATTCTATTTTCATTCCTACTGAAGTAGCAACAATTTTTTTAATGAAATATGAATGGATTCCCGTCACATTCGATAATAAATCTTTTTCTCTTCCAACTATTATTCCAAATTAGGTTATTATTTTATTACTTTTAAAGAAATCAAATTTTTTCTTTTTTAAAAATAAACTTAATTCCTTAAAAAAAATTAGGTTAACTCAAGTTATCATAGATCAACATCATTAATTTATAATGGAATTCTTTGCATTAATATCATTCAATCGGATTGATATCAAGGACAACGATTTATCAATTTATTTGGGCAATTAGAAAAAAAAAAAGCTACTTTTTTGAAGTGCTGATAAAATCGTTTAGTTTTACACGAACCGTATATGGCAAGATAACAACAAAACAAATTACGAAATATATGTTATTGTTATAAGTGACAAACAACAACAAGAAGATGGAAGTGAAATAAATCCATCGAACAAAGTTAAAATTCAAAAAAAAAAGAAAAAAATACTGGATCATCGTAAATAACAAGGAATGAAAATCAAAAGGCCAGCTTCACCGCCGCAAATTGCCATCTGACCAGATGGCTCACTTACGGCTACTCGATTTAGTGATTCCGTACGAAGATCCAAGCTAAACTGTGATACGGCAGTTTTACCGATCTAAAAAAAGAACTTGATTTCAAGGAAACAAGAAGGTGATTAATTATATTTTGAGAAAATGATTAATTGTGTGTGCGTTAATAAACATTTAAAAAAAACTGAATTTCATTCGTAGATATTTATATTGCAAACTTCAATAGAAATAATCGCAAAAATTAAATCTAAAAATTGAATAAAATTAAAGTAAGGACTATGAAAGAAAACTGGAAAAAATGCAACTCATTAAGCAGTCTTTCCATGACGCCTAAGAAATATGAAGTCATATGCTATGCATTCTTCTAGAGAATTAGACTAATTGGCACCTATATTCCCTTACTTTTTACTGCAGTAAATGAGGCGCTAACCTCAGAAAATGTTAATACTCAGATCTAAATTCTAAATCTTAACCACTCTTTGAGCAGTAATCTTGTATAATTAAAATCACATAAGTTTGTGACATATTTTCTCTAATCCTTTTTAATTTTTATGAAACATGTATACGTTGAACTATACTTTGATATCCTCAAAACAAAATTCGAGATGCGATTTTTCAGCACACAATTGTAAATTTGTCAGAGGTGGAGGAAACCTCGGTTCACTTTTACATTCGTCATTATCATCGGCATTGATTGCATCATTTAAAGGTGATTCAATAGTCTATAATTTTATTAAACCATTAAATAATTAAAGAAGAAGCTTCCTGTCAAAGTTAAGCGGTATCGTTGATCAAGGCTTTTGAAAAATAAAAAAAAAGCAGATTAAATCATACCACACTAAACAAGATGATCAAAGTTCACAACTCAAAATTCAAATTTTTTGAGAAAATTTTCTTTTTCTATGACGAAATATATGGAGCCCTTCTGTCTGTAAGAAACTATTACCCATATTTCCTTCACTTTCCCTACATCTTATAACAATGAATTTTCATCCGTTCATCGAAAAAAAAACTAAAAAACTTTTCATTTAAACTGCCTTAAAACATACCTTCTCCAACGGTATTTCTACAGACTTCCTTATTAATGTCAGAACAACCCGACATGCATTAAATAAAAAATCTTTCTCCGACCCAACAGCAGCCAAACGCCCATTTAGAGAAACCTGAAGACGACCATCTGCCCCAGCCGATATTATTGCACCTGTTTTTGGACATATACACATATCCCAAAGCTGTATTTCATGCCTAAATTCCAAAAAAAAGAAATTTAAATTTGAATAGCAAATAACAGGTTACCATTAATGCATCACTTTATTTCACTGTGAGCGAAAGCTTAAGGGTATCATTTTGTAAATGAAATTCAATTTCCAGCGATGTTAATAATAGATAATGGATATTGTCATCCATTTATCTCCACCACAAACTTCCATAAATTTTTTAGTACTTCATATCTAACAGCTACAAACCTATTAGCCAATGGAACCACGAAGAAATTTCCTTTTGATGAGCCCAGTACAATATAACATGTCCCGCAAGTCAGGTGTACGCCAGTTAGAGTAAAATCCTGTTGATAGCTAAATATACCATTGAAAAGTCCTTCTCGTGAATAAACCTGTAATTAGCATAATTGGAAAGAATTTTTTTAGATAATTTACATTCAAATTGAAATGAAAAATCCATAAAGATATGAAATTTCCGGAAAATATACCTGCATTCCAGCCGTTCTTTGAGCACTTTCCTCAATTACAAATGCAAGTGTAACCAAATCATATATTCTAATTAATTTTTCTCGGAATGATACAGCTACTGGAATGAAATAAGAGTAAAAATAATACAAAAATAAAAAAACAGTAATATTTAATCCCAGTAATAAATCTCTCATAATAATACATGAGACGTATGTCCTAGAAAAAAGAAATAAGCTTCGTTATGTGTCCTTAAAAATCCTGAAAATAAAAAGCCCTATAAAAATGATATGTCACCCTTCATCAATTAGAATTTAAAGGATTTCTTTGCACACTTACATTGTTCCAATCCACAGAAAGCGATATTCAAAGGAGGAGATAACCATTCAGCGCTATGTATGATTTTCGCAGATGTACTTTCATCCAAATCCCAGATTAATACATGACCTTTAATGTTTTTATTACAATTTTTTAACTGCTCTGTTCATCAATTCACACACATGCAAACTCAATCAAAATTAAGAGTTAAAAAGTTTTTACTTACTACGAGTATTGAATGAAAACTTTGTTCGGAAACATTCAGCTGAAAGCTATTCTCAATACTACTATATAAAATCATTTCACGGCACGTAATTTTCGCACAGCTTTAATTTCTCTTAATTCTACCATCATTCTGCTAACTTATTTTACCAAATCTAAAAAGCTGTTTTTAAGTATGAAGCTTATAAAAGTGCAAATATTGCATAAGATGTACCTGATGCAGAAACAGCTGCCAATTTGTTAGAACCGCCTTTTTCACTCCACGCAATTGAAATAGTTGGTGCATTATGACAGCACTCTGGACAGCAAAGAACCAGATCAGGCTCAGTACAACGATATACCAGTTGGTCATTATCATTGGTTGTAGGAATGGGCATGTTATTACGTATTCTAAAATTTAGTAATTAAATCTACATTTCGTAACAAGATATACCTGCAATAATTCCTTGAAATTTGCTTTTCTTCTCACCCTCTAAACATACTAGATTTGGGATTTCTGAATTAAAATTACTGTATTACTTACAGAATTAAGCTTATTGCCTGCGTCTATATTGTGTTGTTACTGATAACATTTTGCTCAATTTCCTTGTCCCCAAAAGTTTTGTACTTAGCTTAAATGAAAATTCTGAATGACTCGAAGAACAGAAACTGAATAAAAATTGGAATTGAAACCAAGTAGAACTCGAATGAAAATGGCACCAAATTCCTCAAATTTCATCTCCATCAACGTAAAACAGCTATGATAAACAGTAAAGAAGCAAATTCACTAACCCATAAAGCGAAATTGGACCATTCATACCACCGACTGCAAGAATACCAACAAAATTTGACAGTTTGCTGTCCTGTCGAACAGAATTTCGCAACGATGGACACCAAGCTGTGCAAAGTATTGTGTTGCAGTTCACTTCCAGAAGAAACCACAACGATGCAGAAATTCTAAAAAAATCAAACACTGAATTCATTAATTTTCCTTTGGAAATAAAATTTTCAGACTATCGGCTATTTTCCTGATAAATTATAATAATGTAACATACCTTTCTGGTTTATTGTCATACAGCCAGAATTGAACATAATCAATATTGCAACTTCTCCGATTTTTTGAAATCAAATATTCTTCATCGGAAAAAACCGTGACAGCTACACATTCACAACCTGAATTTTTTATAAAAAAATTGAGAGTATATACATAAAGCACAAGTCAATGGCAAAAACTTCCGTTAAAGATGAAATTGATATGGACAGTAGAATTGAAGCAGCCCAAAGTTTTTAGAGAATTCGCGTGTGCAAGCTTTTATTTTGTCTTATTGGTACCAATTATTTAATAGTTTTCATAAAATTTAATTAAGTCAAACTAAATAGGTTCTAAAATGTATTCAACAGAAAATTCATAAAAGCGTAAATTTCTACTGTCGCAACAACTAACCATCTTCCAGTTTCCGTGGGCAACTTTCAATTGTTGATATTGGCCCCCCGCAATATGCGACACAACCAATTTCGTGTATATCATTTTTGGCTAATGTAAAATGTCTGAAATTACTCAAAGAGCAAATAAATTTTGGAAAGAAGACGAAATCCCAGTTATAGCGGAAGGTAGAAAAAAGCGGGTAAAACGATTGAATTATTCGCCTTCCACTTTATGATTGCTAAATTTGCCGCTAGTTTTTTTCATTGCAAAGAAAAGAAAAATATCAAATACGAAAAGTAAAATTAGATCGTCAGCATTTCAGACTATATCACACTTTATACAAAACTCGAATGATAAACTTAAGAAATTCAGAAACTTAGGTGAATGGAAAGGAAGGAGGACGAGGACAGAAAGAAAGGGTTTAAATTATCGAAATATCAGGATTATCTGAATATTGAAATCGGTGCGCTTCCGAAATGAAGGAAACGAATGTTGATCATAAATTTTATTTCGCAAACTGCTTGGGTAGTCAGCATAAAAATCAGTTGAATTCGAAATTAATGTCATTAACTTACATCTTGCTCGTCTTGCAATGTAAAGGTTTGGGTACAAAAACTGGCAATCTTTGCTTGTCACCAACCATCTGATCTTTTTCAACATCTTTCTCACTTTCATTTCGACTTTCATCCGATGATGACGGTTGCCATTTCTTACTATTGCCAGAAGGAAGTATTACAGGAATGGAGCACTTATTAAGCATATTATTCAAATCGTCACTGCAATTTAAAAAAAAAATGCAGAAATTCCGAAATTTGAAAGTTTTCTACTCAAAATATTAGAATGAAATAAAAATGTAGGAGCCGAAAAGATGATAAACCTGAAATCACAGGGTGCAATACGTTTGAAATTATTTGAATGATGTTCAAATTGGATGAGTGCATTGCAAAGAGATTCCTTTTCTCTCTGTATCCTAAGCAATTCGTTGGCTCGATCGATCGTTTCTTGGTATTGCATTAATTCACGGGGTGTTGGAGCATTTGCTGAAAGTTTCTAATAATTTGTCATAAAAATTAATCAACTAAATAGTTCATTTTTTGACGTTGAATTCAATTGCATAACATTCCAAAATGATTTGCTTTCAAAAGGAAAAGACTGAACAAATTCGACAAAGTGGCCTGATTTGACAAAATTTCTGTGGCAACGCAAAATATTTGCCAGAAAAAGATCAGATACGACAGCTGTGGATGAAAATTTAAATTTGAAAGCATAAATCCTACCATTATAGATTTAATAGTCTTAACTAGTAACAATTGAATACGATTTCGACTGGATAGCTAATTGGGTAGAATTATTGATTTCCAGTGTATCAGATTGAAATTTTCAATAATCTAATTTAAAGCCGAAGAATTTACTCCACAGAACTTCATATTTACCATAATTGAATGAAAAAGGTAGATTGTGAAAAGACTTGAAGGACAGTTTCCATTGAAATGAAAACTGGAATACAGAAAACAGTTAAATATGTAAAAAGTAATTCACCTAACTTTAACAGCCTAAACTAGTGGCACCAATTTTATAGTTAAAGGGATTATTCGAATTTAACCTTCAAGATTTGCACTTTTAAATTTGAATCGTTTAACTCCATCAGCTACTTTCATACGTGAACTTTTCTCCGGTAAATATCCCCGTGCTATTGATGCCACTTTCTGCTTACCAGATTTCCTATTCTGTAATTAATAAATCAGTAGAATGGAATAGAAAGACATGAAGTGGGAAGAAATCTCAAAGCTCTTTTTAAACACTAATCAATTGTCTGAGATAAGAAGGTTCGGCTTGCATGAGCATTTATATGCTGAATAAACGACCTATGTTAAGTCTGCAACCCTATAATCCTTTTCTAGAAGATGGAGCTGATTCATAAGAGCATTACTTAGGCATTTCTTAACTATTACCACAGAACGACTATAATTTGGTAGATTTCTAGTAATAAAGAAGCTATAAGAATCAATCTTCATCTGAAGTAATTATAAAAACAAGCTAAAGTTTATGCAAATTATTCACAAATATACTTTTTTTAATTTTTTTGAAATATCCACATCCAATTCATCAATTTCTGAATTTTCGGACCATGACTCATCGTCTGATCTGAAAATCTCCAATGTAGTCTAATTCTAATAGTGGGAAATCAACAAAAATGGAAAATGAATCCATCGGAGATAGAGATTTTAACAACCTTTCTCCTTTCGTTTTTGTTTTGGGATTTGTACATAAAGCCAAATGGTCACGACCATCTGCTACGGTGGCGGTAAGTCCGCATTTCCAACATTTCCAAGGCAACTGATCCTATAATACCAATAAAATTCGAAAATTCGATCGATTTCTATAAGATTTTCACACTTTTTTCCTTGAAGAGAGTCAGTTTATTTTGTGCGGCAAATTGTTCCAATTTAAATTTATATATTTTTAAACAACAAGCGTTTTTGTAATAATTTTAAATCAATACATTTTTCTGTAGTTATATTTAAATTATATTTAAATCACACAAATCTTTGAGGCATTTAAGCATTGAAATTAATTTCTACAAATTAAAAAAGTACCTTATCTTGACCACATCTTTCGAGATGATATGACAGTGCATAGCAATGCCCATATTTTTGTGTACAGTTCAATGTTTCGATATTCAAACAAGGCAAAACTTCCAATGTATTCATAGAAGCCCGCAATATTTTCGCTTTCGTGACTTTATCAAGCGCTCGAAACGCATCAGCCTTACCCTGTCAGCAAAAAAATATTGCAATATTCAATAATGGCATAAAAAACTTAGATATTGAATAGAAGCTTATTTTTTTAGACTACCTAAAATTTAAACAAATTAACACGATTTGTATAGCACCACAAAATTTGAAAAAAATCATGTCTAAAAGAATTTCATTTAACTTTTATTTTAAAAGTAGAGTCAAAGAACTTACTATATATTTGAAATATTCCGGTAATTTTAGGCATCTATCTACATGATTAACAATATCTTCTTTAGTCTTCAAAACTTTTGTACATTTTTCATTCAGACATTTCACCGTGCCATCAGTGCTTTCTGCAAATGCTCGCACTGCAAGTTGTTGCTTTTCCATTTTTGGTAATACGGCCCAACTGGTTGTGTGACCCTGAAAATTGCAGTTTCAAATTGGAGATGAGTTTTGAATTTAAATGAATTTTGAAGTACTTGCAACTTCAGAAAATTTCCTTGATTTATTCCTTGTAATTTAAGAAATTCCAAACTTGATTTATTTATCCATTATCAATTCACTAATTATTATGTCAAAATTGTGAATATAAGTGTTACATTGGATTAAGTCTTTTATCTTCTTATAAGAAAGATAAAAGTTTAATTCCCAGAAAAACTTGCAAAAAAACTTTTAATTAGCCACGTCGTCAATCATCCGTTCTCACTGTTTTCATTTATGATAAAATTCTTCTATAAATTGCAATCTCATGTGCCGATTCGATACAGGAGGAAATTTATCGTGATTTAGACCTCGATCTTTTCTAATCACAAAATATTCTTTTTGCACAAAATGAATTAAATGAGGCAAGTCCACTTTTGCAATTATTTGAGTGCTATTATTTCACTACTCTTTTTTATTACTACTCGGTTAAGTTATTGTAAACTTCATAATGAATGAATAAATAAATAAGAATTAAATATTCAAACTAAATTACTGGGAAAAACAATGTCCAGCGCTACCCATCAAAATCCTCTGTTCCATTAAGTATACAATAAAATGAAGAAATCTTACCCGATAAGCAGCATATTCGGCATATTTCTCCGGCGGGCGTCTTCGAGTTCTTTTCTGAAACCAATATTACCGTTCAATTACATCCAATGTCATTCAAAAGTTGGATTATAATTTATATTTACTACTTATTATCGATTTCTCCTTTCTTGCTTCTTTTTTCAATATATATTTTCAAGTTCTCAAGATATTTATTTAGAAAAAGAATGACAAGCTTCTACTTCTCCTTCTCCTCCTACATTCATTTCCATCGTCCAAAATATCAAATTTATTTGAAAAACTGTATTAATTAAAGATATTACATTAAAAGGTTTTGAAGACTGAACGGTAGCGACATTTTCTGCTTCATCAAATGATTGGGTGTCGTCGGATTTGCTACCGCCTAAATGATCATCTTTTTCATCTTCGGAGTTAACCATAGTAATCGAAAGGTTCTAGAAAATAAGTGAACAATCTTGAAGAAGTTAACGAAGATTAAATTTAACGTTAAATCCCGCACTTGTTTAAGACAATCAAAAAATGTCTGTTAGTGGTATTTATAATATTCTAAAAAAGTAACTTCGACTTTCGAAAAAAGTATCATAAAATTTCGATCATCCTTCTAAAGATTAATACAAATCCGACTTTTGGCAAGCCCAGAGAATTACTGAAATTTGCGATTGATTCCGTACATCCGCAGACTTCAAAAAATAATATGGTATGGAGATGCAAAGTATTGATCCAGATTTTTCGAATATTTCAGGAATAAATGTTTTTCATATATATCAGGAATAAATGAAACAAGAGATAGTAAATCCATTATCACAACCTGTTCCTCTTGTTTTTCCTCCTTTTTATCACTTTTTTTGATAGATTTTTTGCGCAGTTTTCTTGGTCTAGCGTTATCATTACTTCGCTTATTCGATATTGCATTTGAATTGCCGCCACTATTTCTCTTTGAGTTCCTCAAGTTCTTCTTCATCTGCAAAACAAAAGAAATTGTAAACAGAATAAGATTGAAAAAGCAAAAATTGAAGAGACAATAGAGAATTTACCTAGAAAAATTAATAAACACCTTGTTAATGCTAATATAGTGAAATGTACTTTTTTTCCTCATCGTATAATTTAAATTCAATAAGTGTTTTCTCTTACTTAGACATTTTATCTTAAGCGAATTAAAATGAAACAAATAGAAAAAACACAAAAAAATAAAGTAATACAATTTGCAAAAGAAATTCATGACCATGAGCAGCAATGAACCCGTGACCGATCGACTGCTTAAATTACAACAAACTTAGCTAATTATTCCGCTAATGGGATAGTATAACAAAAGATTCGTAGTTTGGGTTCGTTTAATTTAACATTAAGCAAAATGAAGCTAAGAATTCAATCATAAAAAATAATGAACTATCACTGGAAGGCAAAATTATCACATCAGCAAACGATTCAAGAATAATATATTTGAGAATCGGCAAAAGATTCAAGAACAATGCACCCCGGAATCGATCCTATACCCTATTTACTGATATGCAATAGTTACAGTATGCTAGAAGGAGCTTTAAGGCTTCATCTGCAAGAAAAAGCTCAATAGCGGGTAAATGAAAATTATTAGCAACAGTACTAATTAATGTAATATTTCATTAATTTAGCCCGACTTTTTCACTATTCTTTATTTGCCATTGTTATTTTATTTTTAATATTCAATTCTTATTTTAATTAAGATTTTTAAAAGTATTTTTTCAATGAAAATATGAAATTATTTAAATTCTTATCATAACTTTTTTAATTTTTGGTAGTTGAAAAAAATTCTTTTTCAATAATATTTTCTAAAAGTTTTTGGTCATTTTTCTTCAAAGAAACGCAAGAAAAACAAAACAAGAATTTCGTTGATTTTGTTTAATTAATTTAGTTAAAAATTAAATTATTTCTTTTGAAGCAATAATTGTTAAAATTGTTATTTAAATAAATACGAGCTGTATGCAATATTACCTCTAATCACATTCATACATTATATTTGGGTTATACAGAGACGTACGGCTGCCGTAATAATAGAAGAAATGAATTAGGTCATGAAATCGCCGCATCCCTTCAGCCTTCAGATGAAAATTTGTCCTCTCCAGTAATACTGCACAAATGCTTTTTCATATTTCTATCATTCTATACCTATGTTTGCTTAAATTTTCTCATACAGGTAATTTTTATTAAATGAATTCTTTCATTACTTCAATTCTAAATTAATGAAGTACATATAAAAGCTAGCCAATGTCTGGATAATAATTGGCTCATTCTTGGCTCATAAGCTAGCCAATGCCTGGATAATAATTGGCTCATTTGCTTTGCGTAATCTTTAACGATGCTTTGGCTAACTTATGATTCAATCAAATGATTCAGTGATATCATATTGATAAGAAAATAAGTAAATTAAATAAAAATTTGTTAGAAGCATTGAAAAATTATTCAAATATTCTTGAAGCTTTAGCTATATTTTATGAAATGATCACAAAAACCAATAAAACAAATAATGAATATAAATATGACTATTTTGTATTATATGTTATTTTCCGGAAATTAATATACATCAGTTTATCATTTTTGGTAGTAACATTATCATCAAAACGCAGTATATGTCATTCTCCGGAAATTATTATACATCAGTTTATCATTTTTGGATATCATTATCATCAAAAATGACCAATACTGAATAATTGAACTGATATTAAAAATTATATAAAAATTTAAATAATTACATAACATATATCATAATTAATAAAAATTGCTAGTAATATAAAATTTTAAACTTCAAATTTGCATCATAATAATTGAAAATCTTTATTAGCAAAACAAAAAAAGAAATTTGGATGATTGATATAAATAATTTAGTAAAATATCTTGGTGGTATACCGGTACCTGGTCGTTCAGTACCACCAATACGAATTTTTGAACTTTATGCTAAATCTTGCATACCAAATGATCGAACATCAGCGATCACTGAACAATTAAGTGATGTTAGCCAATTCGATAATTTTTATCATTTTATCATATTCTCTTTAATTTAACAAAATTTCAATAATTCCTTTTTTCTTTGCAAATATTGAGAAAAGTATGATTTTCCTTATTTTCTTTCTAATAATTAATTTAAAAATTAAATTATATTTTTTGAAACAATATGATTACAGGTAATATTGCATACAGCTGGTGTTATACATTAGAAAAATGTAAATAATTGTGACAATTTCAGAGTTTCCTTCTTTTTGACGTATGCAATATTACCTGTAATCAAACAGGTAATATTGCATGCAGCTGGTATTATACATTAGAAAAATGCAAATAACTGTGCTAATTTTAAAGTTTTCTTCTTTGTTTTTGACAGTATGAATTTTATTTTTATTTTTTGATAATATAATTAATTGCTTTCTTTTTGTTTCAATTGAAGTTATTACAAAAATTGGATGCAAATGATATTGCAAATAAATTGTATAATTCATTATATATGGCTGTTGGTGATATTAATGTAACGAAATTGATGGGTAAATGGTTTGTGGTAAGTAAAAATTTATTTCAATTATTTTATTACATACAAAAATTTGAATATTATTCCTTTTATTTTTCAACTCTTAAAAAAAGAAAATAATTATTCAATTATAAAAAAGTTTTAATTTATAGGTTGTTGACACACCAAGCATTCATAATGAATATTGTCCAATATTTTATTGTATGTTTTATAATTTTCTCTTCTTTGTTTTCATTGTTTAAGAAATTTTATAGTAAATTTGTTTTTAATTATTTTTTTCAATTTTTAATTATGCTAAATTTATTTTTGTTTTGTTTAGTTTAAATTCTTTTGTTTAATTTTATTATTTTTTCGTTGCATTTATAATTTAGTTGAATTATTGGATAAAACTCCATATACGGCAACATTTACGGTACGGCAATATTCACGAAATACAGAAAAGATTAAAATTTTGGAAGGATATGGAAGAAAAATGGGAATTGATCCAGCGGAATTACTTATTAATATTGGTCATCCAGCTGATCCATGCCCATGTAAGTGAAACGGCTTACAATTTACCTGTTAAAATGTTAGCATAAAAATTTTGAGTAAGCATAAATCCATGTAAGCAAAAATGTTTACAGTTTAACTATTAAAATATTAGCATAAAAAATTTTTAGTAAACACAAATCCATGTAAGTATAAAGGTTTACAGTTTACTTGTTAAAATATTAGCATAAAAAATTTCGAGTAAGCACAAATCCATGTAAGTAAAAAGGTTTACAATTTACCTGTTAAAATGTTAGCATGAAAATTTCGAGTAAGCACAAATGATAAAATATTGATAAAGAAATGAAATAACAATTCGCGTATAAAAATTGTTTGGTATAGATAAATGTTAATTTAAAAAAGTTTATAGTTTACCTGTTAAAACATTAGCATAAAAATTTTAAGTAAGCACAAATGGCAAAATATTGATCAAGATAAAAATTTTTTTGGTATAGATAAATATTAATTAAAATTTCTTTGATGTAAGGCATATGTCAAAGTGTTAAAGTCATTATAATAATATTTTTCATTTAATTATTATGCTAGTACAAATATCTCCAATATAATATAAATAATCAGTGATGTAAGATTATTATCATAGTGTTAAAATAATGAATGTAAAATAAGAATGAAATATTACTAGAATTATTAATGCATTTAATGAAATTATTTCATATGTGATATATTTCACATTAAATATAAGTGTTCCTCATCTATACATAATAAATTTAGAAATTACACCTATTTAAAATTAGATATATATTTAAAAAAATATTTAATGCTTAAATATTCAATTAAATAATATGTATATTTAAAAGTATTTATTATTCATATAATATTATACTATGTATTTGAAATTTAATAGTTACTTAAAAGTATTTAATACTCATATAATTTTGTACTATGCATTTAAAATTTTATATTATGTATTTAAAAATATTTAATACTCATATAGTTTTATGTTATATATTTGTAATTCAATACTGTATATTGAACTCATAACTTTATATTATGTATTTAAAAATATTTAATACTGATATAATTTTATGTTATATATTTATAATTCAATACTATATATTAAAAGGTATTTAATATTCATATAATTTTATATTCTGTATTTAAAATTTAATATTATATATTTAAAGGTATTTA